TTCCAAAATTTGGACCAGCATAATGGCCACTAAAAAATACCTGTATGTTGATAGTTCAAAAGAAATTAGTGAATAAGAAAGTGTCGATTAAATGCTTAGATAAACAAAATATTGATGAAGAGTTTGTATTTCCTAAATAACGTCAAGAATTTTCGGAAAATGTATTTCCTGATATTAAAGTGACTTCTACCAGAAAAAAAGATCTACTTACAGCTAAAGAAGTCGGACCAACATGAGATGTAAGATCATTTTTCACCGGGCCACCAGCACGGAACTCATTGCTCGGCGTAATCACCCAAAATCCAATGTCTTGGTCAGTGCTAATCCACCCGTGCACTAAGCTATCCTTGTTGTCACACGAGTACTGGTACTTGTCATCCACCTCGCCTTTGAGGGATGGATTGCTAGCATTTGTCAACAAAACGGCTTCTCTATATTTGAGAACTTGGCCTCCTGTACGATCACGAGCTGTTGGCATAATCCTTTGTATGTCGTCTGATATAGCCATGTAATGGAACCTGCATATACAATATAGTTAAAATTATTGAAGCTCACATTGAGCATGTAATGCATTTTAAAGTTTCTAATTCTCATATCTTACATGGCATCGTCAAGTTTGAAAGTAATCCTTGTTTCATCAATATTTACATCGGGCCATCCTTCTAAATGTTCCATTATTGCATATGAATAGAAACCAGAGCATCTGCGCAACATTATATACCTGCAAGATGGATTTATTAGCTAGGCAGACTCTATCAAATTATTTAATAAACTAAATTCCACCTTATATCGACATTCAAGGGGTAAGAGTAACTATCGGAGGAATTCCATGTTCTCATGAATGAAATTTCGATCATATCTTCTGTTTGTGCAATAACTTTGAAACTTGCCCCTTCAAGCCTGCATAATTTAATGAGGTTAATTAGTATTTTCTATTACTTAAAATAAGATTTCTGAAATTCTAGAANAGATATATTCATAATTCCTATTTCCCCAATATTCTATAAGAAATGAAAACTTTTTATAAACCATACTTGTATTTCGGCATAGGTGGCAGAAGCTAGTGCCATCTGGAGCGTATAGGCTTGCGTCCTCGCAACATTTGTTAAATCGAATGACACTTGCCAGGTCGTCGATTTGGATGTACTATTTGTTCTCCTGCAATAATTTGGAATTAATATGCGAGTTCATCTTACAGAAGAACAAAATGATCATAAAAGTGTGCACTAAATACCTGTTGACATGAGCAAAGAACCAATCTTTTCTGTAATCACTGGTACCAACAGTGTAAACTAGATCTTGATCAGGATATAAATCTGTATATCTATCCCACAATCCGTATTGTCTATACCTGAATGTAATAGAAGTGATTAATAGAAATGGATAAGAATTTCTTTGGAGAAAAGCTCAATTAATGTAAAATCAATGGTCATCATTTAATAGGAGCTTACTTCTGATTTTGTTTAGTAAATAAATGGTTCCTCCACTCCGGCGATGGATCAGGCACGTGGAACTCAGCAGGAGTACGATCGGGGATCCCAATTTCCCATAGGGTTGGACCATTTCTTGGAGGATTGTATACAAGATTTCCTAGTTGAATTTGACTTCCTGTATTAAAAATCATTAATTTCAGGGAAATATGTTATTTTTCTCCATAAATTGCATGTAAGAATTTTTTTTTCAACTTTCAAATATAAAATTCAGTAGGCATTGAGATTAAAACCTGGCGTGATGACAATATCAGTGTCATGTTTGTAGTCCCCCATCACTCTTGCGACCCAAGCATTCAAGCCGTAAGTACCTCCTCGAACGCCACTTATCGTGAAGTAACCATTTTCATCAGTTTGATTCCAAAATTGATAACCCTGATAATAATATTAAGAAAAATAATTAATATGTCATCTTAAAATCAGGCACTTACCTAATGTTGAAAAGTTATATAGAAATAGATACTGTTAAATTTATGTCAAATATATAACCTTAACGTCTGTTTGCCAAGATCCCGCATCCCCTGGTGGAGCCAATCCCACATATGCTGATTTTGCAGGCATGAATTCTCGACTGAGATATCGGTCACGAACTAATAATCGACCACTTATGGTGCCCCGTTGATTGGCCTGAGGGTAGTCTTCTGAACTTGGAAAGTCATATGGCCACTTTTGGGTTTCTTTTTGCATCTGATGAAGTTAAATGATTGACAAATGCGATATAGGTTGGGGAACAAAAATGAAATAATAATGTCTTGAGTTGTAAAATTCTTAGTGTACAAATATTATTTGTGTTTTGTTGAATGTAACTTACCTGTTCTTTAGCATCTTCCCAAAGTGTACTTGGCTTGTTACTTGAACCTGAGTTGAGGTGTATAAAAACAGGCCCAAAGACCTTTTTCCACGGCTCTCCATTGCGTAATCTAATTCCAAAATTTGGACCAGCATAATGACCACTAAAAAATACCTGGACGTGGATAATTCAGAAGGAATTAGTGAATAAGAAAGTGTCAATTAAATGCTTAGATAAATATTATTGATGAAGAGTCAGTATTTCGTGATATTAAAGTGACTTCTACCAGAAAGATCTACTTACAGCTAAAGAAGTGGGACCAACATGAGATGTAAGATCATTTTTCACGGGGCCACCAGCACGGAACTCATTGCTCGGCGTAATCACCCAAAATCCAATGTCATGGTCAGTGCTAATCCGCCCGTATGCTAAGCTATACTTGTTGTCACACGAGTACTGATACTTGTCATCCACCTCGCCTTTGAGGGATGGATTGCTTAGATTTGTCAGCAGNCCTCGCCTTTGAGGGATGGATTGCTAGGATTTGTCAACAAAACAGCTTCTTTATAATTGAGAACTTGGCCTCCTGTACGATCACGAGCTGTTGGCATAATCCTCTGTATGTCGTCTGATATGGCCATGTAATGGAACCTGCATATACAATATAGTTAAAATTATTGAAGCTCACAATATAGTCCTCATCTCTGTAATGCATTTTCAAGTTTCTAATTCTCATATCTTACATGGCATCGTCAAGTTTGAAAGTAATCCTTGTTTGATCAATATTTAAATCGGGCCATCCTTCTAAATGTTCCATTATTGCATATGAATAGAAACCAGAGCTTCTGCGCAACATTATATACCTGCAAGATGGATTTATTAGCTAGGCAGACTCTATCAAATTATTGAATATGCTTTCCACATTAATAAACTAAATTCCACCTTATATCGACATTCAAGGGGTAAGAGTAACTATCGGAGGAATTCCATGTTCTCATGAATGAAATTTCGATCATATCTTCTGTTTGTGCAGCAACTTTGAAACTTGCCCCTTCAAACCTGCATAATTTAATGAGGTTAATTATTATTTTCTATTACTTCAAATAAGATTTCTGAAATTCTAGAAGATCCAAATTTTTGAACTTACTCGTCGAAAAAACTTTTACGCTCTTCTGGCCTACTCCACACCATGTCCCAATACCTAAATGTGCAAATCCATGTGTAGAAATGAATATTTTCTTTTCAAGAACTTATTTTATTATTCGAAGTATTTTGTATTAGATTCAAAGCAACTCACCCTCGTCTATTTTCTTTTAAATGATATTCGAGGACATTCTTATCTCCTTTGTATTGTATTTCCGCAATCAAACCACTTGGAGATAATAATGTGAGTTTAACAATGCCATTGTCCAACATCACCTGCAAAAAATACTTCTAATCAATTTGGATATACGTAATTCTCGAGTATGTTTTATTGGGATAATGTAATTGCATAACGAATGTTATTGCCAATGTTTTCTTCTTCCATCTTTTTCCCTTCAAGAACCATATAAAGTAGTTCGTTGAATTAAAAAGACAAACATAGTGTATTTTGAACATCATATTGGACATACTATAGAGTACTGCATAATATAATTGACGTAAAAAAAAAAAAAAAATTAACTTCTTTTTGTTTCTCATTGTCTAGTAATGTCTATTTTGACATACCAAATATGTAAAAGGTATTCAATACCAGAAACAGTATATGGAGTTTATGTAGGTAATTTAGGCTTACATGATCTTTCCATTTTTTTAGTTTGACAGGAGAAGATGGCATCAGTTCTTGATCAGTGTTCTGTGGCATCCATCTGCAGATTTGATTAGTAATTACTTGTCAGATATTGACAAATTATAAAACAATAAAGAGAAGCTAATTGAGGAATTCTACATCTTCTGTTTGAGCTCTATTTCTTTTGTAAAATAATGAGTTCTGAATTTTTATCAATCAAGCTAAAGTGTATGATTAAAGAGTTGTGGATCCCTATGAGATATGTGGTTAAAATTGATTGTTAATTAGAATTTTTATCAATCTTTTCAGTTACACCAAACAAGGGTTATATTATCTTTGTCCTCCGGGTGATTCTCAAGAAAACACAAAAATGGTTTGAATTAGAATTTGACCCGAATTTTATTTGAAATGTTATTTGGAAATCCTATTCAAAATCTATTTGACAATTCTAGTTAAAATTCAACAAATAGATTTTTTCAACATTCCTTTCTATCTATAACTCTATTTCTAGAGTTTGAAACTTTCCCTTTATATAATTAGCTCTTTATTGTGATTTAGACAGGTTAGACAAATTTGTAAATTCAAAATATTTGTATTCTTTCTCTATATTTTAGTGAATGTTCATTTCCTTTGCCAATTATCTTTTGTTCTTGTGCATTTGTGATATTAACTTCATATCGTACCATATATTTATCGTTATATTACAACAAAAAGAACAAATAACACCCTGTTTGAGCCACATTATTCTCCCAAAAATGCATTTTAAATAGTGTTTTGATGGAAAATATGCGATTAAAAAATAACGAAAAATTATGAATTTGTGTGTAATATTATTTTATTGAAGAATGTATTGTTGAAAATAAGAGAAAAATAAATGTATTTTAGAAGACAGCAATGCTTCATGTACATAAGCATTACTCACAGAAATTTCACAGGATAGACACAAAGGGCGGGCTCCACATGTATTTTAAAAAAAATAGCGCGGGCCCACCTTTGTATCTATCCTGTGAAATTCTTGTGAATAATGCTTCTGTACATAAAACATCAATCATATTATGCGATGGTACCACGCCAGTCTTACTTCTAGAGGAAGAATGGATTGTGAACACCATTCCCATTACGTAAAGAGCTTCTAAAGATTGGTGCTACGTTACTTAAATGTATTCAAAAACTTCATATTCAAAATTTCAAATTTAACGTCTTTCAATGACATGCACGAGTCAAGGAATTGCTGTTATTATGCTCAATATTAACTTAAAACTCAAAAGTATCAGAAATTAATATAATAGTTAATAAATAAACTGAAGCAAAGAGATGATTTTTTAATGAACAAACCTGTTTGCGGTATTTGCAGCAGAACCAAGATGCAAGAACAATGAAAAAGCAATCGCAAGAAACCCTCCTAAAACTAAAAACCTTAGTGCCTTGTCCATATTTGCAACAACAAAAGAACCTGCTAACCAATAATGTAGAACATGTTTCAGATTGTTAATAAAAGTGAATAAAAAAGAATCATCGCGCACCATATACGCCTCGACTTAGCGTATACAGAATCATGCATAGGAAAAGAAAGCATGCAAGAATTATAAGATCTACCTTGAAGAAGAAGGTGTCACTGGTCGAGCAGTTGGTATCAGCAGCTTTATAATATTATTGTGTTTCAACTAATTTCTAGAGCAATGTTAATGGAGCAGTTCTTGTGAACATAATGGAATTTATGGGTTCTTATATAGATTAATTTTATATCGTAATACTAGTATAGTAAATGAAGACAAATGAACAAAATCCTACATGGACTGGCCGACTGGCACTTTGACTTACGAGTCTTGTATTAGGCATACATTATTAATTGTTGAACTTTGGTAGAATTAGAGTCCCTTTTCTACACGGCTTGCACGTTAATTTCGATTTGAAATACGAGTCCTGATTTGTTTGTGTACAAAACTACAAATACTTTTCAAATATTTTTTGGAAGTCCATTGGTGGATTTTTCAAAGCTGCAATTTAGTAGTTTCGCCCAACTTTTTTTGTCTATTTTCCCATAATTTGTTCCATTTAGTCAATAATCTGTTAATTAATGAAGTGGAAAATAACTAATCAAAAGACTGCTAAAAAATTTAGACTATTTGATAACTAATAAAATTAAAAGATATTAATTAGTTTTAGACTTATCTCAAACACTTGCCTAAGTTTATACAAAATGAAATAGTTGTTGGACATGGACTGGTCATTGTATTGGACAAAATATGTCTCATATTTAAATAAAATAATATTTCTTATTGATGTATTGTCTTATACTTCAACAATTAATAATATTTGATATTTTCTATAGGCATAATTTAATAATACTGATATCTAATAATTAATTAAAAAATAATAAAAATAGCAGACGCATGTCCTTAGAGAACCAAGGACCTAGAGTAGCATGTTTCTTTCCGATTTTCTTGATTTCGAACCGTATATTTCGAAATACATTATAAGCTACTATTAGAGTTAAATTGTGACTCGGAATTCTATTGAAAGTTCTATGGGAATTTTTAGGATGAGTTGAAGAAGTCAAAGATGTATTTGACGGTTTTTGAACTCTTATTTCAACTCAAATACTCCGTTATTGATGTTACATATTGTAATAGAATTTCACATTGTGATAGATTCTTATTTGTATTAATTATTCTAGTATGTTAGAGATTCTTGTATTATAAATATGTGGTGTATTACACATATTTAGCCCCTCTTTGACAATCATTAAATGGAAAAAAAAAATCATGTTTTTAATAATGATTTTTAAGAGAATGTAGTTAAAAAAAAGTAGAGAAAAATTTTGAATTACATATATTTTATTTTATGAATATATGGCTGAAAAGTAGTATGTAGAAAAAAGAGTTCGAAAATAATTATTGTCAAACATGGGCTTATTTAATCGACTTAGAGAGTGATCCAGGGGAATTCGGTTAATAGAGAGACTCACAGATATAGATATCAAAGGAGAGTCTTGTGAGATCCCGCATAACATATTATAAATCTTTACTTTTACTTTTAATATAGTGAACTCTCCACATGGACCACATCTACTTGTGATTTTTCCCGTCTTGAGTTTTCATAAGAATCTTGTGTTCTTATAATTGTTATTTTTAGCATACTCATTATCTCGTCTTGAATATTCAAAACAAATGGTATCAGAACAAATTGATATCGTCTTATTTCAACAAGTGGTATCAAAGCTATTACCGATTTCTAACAGCTACAATATTGGTGAGATTTGAAGGTAAGAGGAAAGATACATGAGAGAAGGGCACTGAATTTATCTTTGTTAGGCAAAGGGGGCCATCATACATATCTTCTTCAATTCCTCTTCTCGATAATCTTGTGATAACGTAATTTCTATGAGATTTAATCTGGTGTTTTCTCATGAACAAGTTGTTATTCCTCTGGATTAAGAGAGCAGTAATCGACAATGGATGATGAAATGAATTGAAAGTTGAACAATGACACTTGAAACTTCTAGCTCTATTGCTTGTTTCTCTGGACTCTCTTCAATTTTATTTTATTTATTAATTTTTTTTTCCAAAGAAACGTGTGCTCAAAGCAATTGGATATTGTTGTTTTGAAAATGCTATTCATGCTGCTTTATTTTATGTCTGTTAATTGATTAACCTTCGTCAATTAATAAATCATTGTTTAATGAATAATATTAATTTCGAAAGTTATAGAAAGTAAAAGTTCTTCTTATGCTAAGTACAGATAACATGACATATTAATTCATTGACACTTTGAAATGTGTTTCATAATACATCTTTCCTATCTCTGATCTAGTAACCTTCTTGTATGTATATTGTTTATATAGATTTTTAGGAAACAACGACGAGATTATACGGCACAATAAAAAGTATCAATCACAACACTAAATTTGTTTCAATCCTAAGATTTGTTTCTTAGAGCCTAGGCACCCTGTTTGGGCTCTCAAGTGTTCAGTTGCTGTTCCAAATTTTCAATTACCAACTTTGATCCCTCTTAAACTCATTTTTCAATCAAAATACGAACCAACTTCGGAATTTAGATCACGTATTCAACATAGATTATTGGTATAAAATGACATAATACTATTCGTTTGAGTATGTGTTAATAGTATTATATAAATGTCAACAAAAAGGAAATTATTTTCAATGTTTGATAAGATGCTTTTGAACAACGAAAACAAGAAAAGGAAAAACGTGGTACCTTCTATCTATGTCACCAACGCACGATCCACAAATTTCTTGAAACACATTGGTTTGACTACTAAAAATATCTAGAAAATGACTGTAGCTCCTCTTACTCTTCCTACATCTTATCGAAAAATTAGGAAGAGAAATCAAGACTTTTTGGTAGATGACAAAGAATCAAAGTCAAGTAAACAAACCGAGCTGCAATGTATTAGCGTATAACTACATAGAATTCACACCCACTGCCAAACTTATTGGAGAAATTTATTCGAGGAAATTACATACAAGTTGGAAGTCATGAATGAATCAAAAATTGTCCAAAAATTGAGTTTAGTGTCGAGAGAAATACTTTTGTAAAAGAAAGAAGATATAAAGTTGTATTTCCATAAAAATAGTGTAGATTTATTCCCTTGATTGATCAATATCCAGGATCAGTAAATCTCCAACTATAACACCACAATCGA